GGAGGGCAGGGGAGGGGGCACGCCCTGAGGAGCCTGTGCCCCCAGGGGCATCATCCTTTATGCCATGGTGACCGGGAAGCTGCCCTTCAAGGAGCACCAGACCCACCGCATGCTGCACCTGATGCACCATGGCCCCACCTTCAGGCCGGGCACGTCCCCAGGTGAGTGAGGACACCCTGTGTCCCTTCTGAGCCCCAGCTCGGGCCTGGAAAGTAGGCAAGAGAGACCTGGGTCCAGAGAAGGGTCATGCTGCGTGGAGGGAGTGGCATGGGAGACTGACCTGGCACCCCACCCCCAACCCAGGCTGGTAAATGGACCACAGCAACCAGGGGACAGGGAAGCTGGGCTAGAGGACGCCCCGATTCAGACTCCTTGCCTGGAAAGGCAGCGGCCCCACCGAGCTCTGCACCAGCCCAGGGCACGCTGCCCTCCCTCTCCGTGCCCTGATCTCACGATGGTGAAGCACTGACTCCCTCCAGGCATTTGGGGGGTCCGAATGGGCTGACTCCTCTACGCTGCCAGCGTTGTTGATGGTGATGGACGCAGCTGGGGGGGAAGAGAGTGGGCAGTGGGAGGCCACAGCTGTGAGCCCTCACCCACAGAGTGCCGGGACCTGATCCGGGGCCTGCTGCAGTTTCGCCCGTGTGCGCGCCTGGGCCTGCAGCAGGTGGCCGCGCACTGCTGGATGCTGCCCGCCACGCACGCGCTCTCTGGCACCACGCTCAGGATGCCGCCAGGTAGGGTGGGGGCCCTGGGAGGGGGGTGTGGGCAGGTGGCCGGCCCCTCGGCGCCCCTCCTGATCCCCCACTGCTGTCGGTTGCAGAGAAGCCAGCTAAGCTTGAGCACCCGGAGCCCGGCAGAGACTCGGAGCCTCCGAGGCGGCGCCCCCGGCACTGCTTCTGGGCCTCCGCCTGGGCCGCAGAGGCCGACCCAAGAAGAGGTGCAGGCTCTGCCCAGCTGGGGCTCTGGAGCGCGAGGACAGCCAGCCTGGGGGTAGGCGCCTCCAGGTAGCTCCTATCGCGGAGCTCCACATCTGCCATCAGGACCACGCCTGGGCACTACCTGCCATGGGTGGGCAGAGGCGAGGCCAGATAAAGCGTTTATTTTGTGGAGGGGATGTGGATGTCTCTGTGCAGGAAGGGCAACCAGCCACGGGGAACCATCCCGGGAGAACACACCTCCGTGCCACGTTTTTAGTTGGGAGGAGAGGAAAACTACAGAGAGTACCAGAGAGGAAAGAGATACCTCACACCCGCGAAGCGACCGGCCTCAATGGGAGGAACCGGAGTGGACCCCCAGCTTTGCAGGCAGTGCCAGGACTGAGGACACGCGGAGTGGGGGTGCTGGGAGCTCTCGCGGCAGCAGCACTCCAGTGCCAGAGTGCAAGGGGCCTGGGAAGGCCAGGACTCTGGAATCCTGTGCCAAAGATGGCCCTGGGAAAGGAGCGCGGCAGGGGGAGGGCCACACTGACCCTCTACCAGGCCTGGTGTGGCAGCTTTAGAACTGAGGGACCACACAAGGAGCTGGGGAAGGACAAGGTTCTTGGGCCCATAGGAGGCTCCAAGGTGACAAAGGGCGGGAAGGGGAGAGGTCTGCTTAAGAGCGAGGATGCAGGCACATCACAGAGACACTCCGAGTGTGTCAGGCAAAGGGCTCGGACGCTCAAGGAAGCCTTCCAAGGACAGGGCCCGGTCAGAGCGGACAGCAAGTACGTCACAGCAGGGCGGGCCAGAGAAGACAGCAAGGGGCTGAGGGCCGTCCTGGGGCACAGGTCAAGCAGGAAGGTGGAGAGAATGATGGGAACACAGCGCCCAGCAAGCACTCCAAGGACAGGCCAGGGGGTCACAGCCCTAGGAGATCCCAGGACAGGCTGATGCTGAAAGTCTCACGAGGTCAGTCCTTTGAGGCTGGGTCTCAGGCAGGGCACGTTGAGGACCCCAGAATAGAGGACTTGGGGTGGGCCTGGCAGCAAAGGGCACTGCTTATACCTGGACACCCACCGATGCACAGACCTCGACAGTGCCCTCCGGGGCTGCTCAGGCTTGCACTGTTTATCCGTCCCGCCCGTGAGCCATCTTCCTGGAGGCACCTGAGAGTCCTGGAGCACGGCTAGCTCTGACTGACCAGCGCTGCTCCAAGCAACCGGAGTTGCTGGAAGTCACGGGGCACAAAGAGGTCCCCTCGCCCTCCCAGGCATATTGGACATTCACCCTAGAGACCTCTCGGCAGGGAACAACCTCTGAGCAAGGAGACCCAGAGGCCCACAGCTGGCTGCGGGAAGGCCCGGAGCTCAGGTGGGTGTAGCCCCTCCAGCTCGTGGCTCCGGAGCCAGCTCCTCTGACCGCTCCCGGGTGTGCTGTTCCTGCTCCTGGCGGTCCAGCCGCCGCAGCTGCTGCTCCACGTCTTCAGGCACCTGCACCTCCAGCAGGTTTTCCATGCCCTGCTCTGGCTCATCCCCGATGAGCACCTGCCAGCAGGGGAGGCAGGTGAGCAGCTGGGGCTGGCGCACCGCGGACATCCCGCCCCCTTCCCCACCAACCCCGCACCCACCTGAATGAGTTTCTCGCAGGCCACGCGCACGTCGGGCTCCGGCTCCCAGCTGTGTAGCTCACGCAGGATCAGGTAGGCTCCCTGGTTCCTCACCTGCTGCCGACCAGGTGCTGTGGCTGTCAGCTGAGAGCGGGCAAAGGTTATCCAGATATGAGCGTGCCGCGCGTGTGTGGCATGGTAGGAGCCGGCATGAACACAGCAGGGCCTCTGCTCACCAGCATGATGGCTTCAATGAGCATCTTTCGGATGTCGGCATCAGGCTCCCTCTGCTTGTCTGGCGGCAGGTACTGCAGGTCAACAGGCAGCCCTAGGGGGGTGTGTGCGAGCCACTGGGTGCCAGCACCAGGCATCAGGCCAGACCCAACCTGGGTTAGCCCCATTCGTGCTCAGCAACTCCCTGGCTGGAAGGTTTCAGCCAGGTCAAGCCCTGGGCATCTTCTCCCCCCCCCCCCCC